TCTATCCATCAGGCCCACCAATCAGTGCCTCCACCCCCCCACCATCCCCAGACCCCCAATTTATCTGAAAAAGGGGTATCTGGACATACAAAAATGGTTATGGCTCAAAAACTATTAAACATAGGTGCTTCAGGTTTCTTTGGTTGTTTGGCTCTGATGAGGGGCTATCCATCAGGTCAACCAATGCCCCACCACTATAAAAAAATAAATAAATAAGAACCCCTCCCAAGCCACTACGATTTTGGGATGCACCTAGTAGCATGACACTTATTAGGAGTAAAGACTTCTGAGTTCTGGTGCATTTGTGCGTGCGGGGGTCATTATGTTACCGCAATGCGGTATCTAGTCCAATAACATAACACATAGTCCAATTCAGTCAGCTTATGTTATAGTTTCATTTAAACTAATTCCAAAAACATGATATTTGGTAAAAAAAATTGTCTAACAGCATCACTCTTATTGATGATGTGATGATAATTTGGCATCCTTCACTGAAGGCGAACTTATGGTCAAAGGATTTTTATTTCTTTGTGACCAATGTGGATGCAACTCCTACATTGGTACTCTTATTCTCATTAGAGCAAGCAAGTGAAATAAAAATAAACTAATAAATAAAGAGAAAATCTTGGCCCACTTTTTCAACACATACTATACACAGGTTGAAATTTAATGTTTTAACACTATAACTGTTTTTTGATTGTCCAGTCTCACCATGACTCACTATGACTCCACTTACATTGATACAGTTTAGATGGTTTTTGATAGAAATTGAGTGTAGTCTTGATTTCGGCAGGATCATCAYAGCACAGCCACCTGGCACTTATGCAACCTTATAAGGCAAGCACAACTCAGCAATAGCAAATGAGGGAAATAAAGTCCCAAAACACTTTATCCCCAGTGAGCACCATCCTCTGCCACGATTTCCAAAAATGCTGTGGATGAATCGAGGTAACCTTCTCTCTGCCAGTCTAAGTGTGTAAACCAAGTCTATTTGGTGTAACTCCCCTTGTTTTCAGCCAACAAGCCTTGAAATATCTGCACCTACTTGTAGTACCACAGTGTTGGTTTACGTGTAGCCTGTTTAATAATAGTTTTTTTAGGTCAGTAAAAATTAATGCAGTTGATGTGTTTGATTCTTGGGAGGGAGAGACAATCAACGTTGATTTCTGGCTAACCAATGGCCTGCAGTTTGCTGATGTCAAATCTTCAGCTCAACTCAGCTCATGTGGAACATCAGCTGAGTAGATAAGAACCAAAGTGGAAACTGGTAGGATTGTCCAATGATAAGACCCTAAATCCACATGGGCAGATACAAGTAGGATCAAGTTGAACCCATGGAAAAAGGCCACATTACTGCCCACAATTTTATTAAATTCAAAAATACATAAATAAAGTAAAATTTTGAGTCTGTTACAGAATGTGAGAGAAGTGCTCCAAGTAGAGTTTATGCTTGCACACTAAAAAAAATAACAAATTGATCAAATGGTCTCATTGTGCACTTCAGTGCATGCCTTTAACGGCCAATGATGCAGAAAATTGTGGATAGTGACCCTTGGTCTACAAAGACTTTGAGCACCCTCTCAGTGTCATCTGAGCTCACTGAATTTTCCAGTGAGTGCTTGTTGCTCTCCAAKCTGATTTAAAAAAATATTTCCTCCAAGAGGCATCATCATGACCACAAATTTTACACCTAAGCTCTGGAACATCAAATTTTGTACGATTTGAACACCCTGCCACAACACGCTGACATGTTAAATAATCACAGGTCAATGAGCRTACACACACTTGTGACCACATAGCAACACACTTCCTCACAAACAACACGAGCACAGGCGTCACGTGCGACTTTGTGYAGTGAATGCGTCTGTTGTGTGGAGGTAGTGAGGTGCTGACAGAAAAGAAAGAGGAGCGGTCTTCAAACACATCCACAGGCAGGTCGTGCTCTCTATTATGCCCTGCCGGGGGCACATTTGTTGATTCTTGGGCCCCCAAATCATTAATTTAAGTGCAGTCAACGACAACGAAACCTGAGAATGGTGTCCAACACACATTCAAAAGTTCACACACACACACACACACACACACACACACACACACACACACACACACACACACACAAAAAAACATACACAATATATATATTTTTAACAAATTTTTTGATGACAAACCAACTGGGAATCTTCAGGGGATATTTGACCAACATGGTTAAATACTTTTTTAGAGGAAATTAGAAGTTAAATGAATAATGATTTAGTCATCCTCTGATGCAAGAARATAATATTTCAGTCACTTTTTAAATAAATAAAAATCAGAATTACAGTGTTACTCCTTCTTAAAGGGGCAATTTCATGTAAAATCAACTTTTTTGAGTTTTATATCATGTTATAATGTTATACTCTC